CGGCGGCAATCATACAGCCGATACATGGCGTGCTCTGCCGCGGAGATATTCCCGTCAGCAATCCGAAAGCGGCTCTCTAAGTTCTAAGACCCGTACCTTACGGATAGACTTGGCAGACATACTTATGATCCGAGATGGGATGCAAAGTATTTAAGTCTGACAGTGGAAAAAATGGGCTTCAACCCGCTATTCGTCTTAGATGGTTTCCTCTTTGGTCTCGCTGCTACTCCCCTCTCTCTTCCTCCTCGTACACGGAGCCACTTCACTCCCAAAGAACTACACAACTATCTCGCGCGATGTGGTTGTCATTGGCGGCGGCGCTTCGGGAACGTATGCTGCCGTAAAGCTGCTCGAGAGCGGCCATTCCGTTGCTGTGCTCGAGCGGCAAGGACGTCTCGGCGGTCAGATCTACACGTACCGTGACCCCGCTACGAATGCGCCATTCAGTCTCGGTACCGCGGTCTACTATAACAACACCATCAATAACGCATTCTTCTCGCTGCTCGGAGTTGCGACCGGGCCCTATGTGCCACCAGCCGGAGGCAACGTCTACCTCGATTTCGCCACGGGCAAGCCCGTGCCAGGCTTCAACCCCGACACCCAGTTCACCGCATGGCTCCCCGCGCTGTTGGCCTACAACTCGTACATCAGCGAGACGTACCCGTACCTCACCCTCTCGTACGAGAACCTAACCTATCCTGTCCCAGACGAGTTATTGGAGCCCTTCACGGTTTTCGCTGAGCGACACAACTTCACAGCGATGCTGCAGTTCTACGACCAGAATATACAGAATATTGGTAACCTGTGGCAGTTGCCGACGTACCACGGAATCCACGCGTTCGATTCCAAGCTGGTCGAGTTTATACTCCAAAATTACCTTCAAGCGGCATCGGGCGACAACCAGGATATTTACACCGCCGCCGCCGCGTATCTCGGGTCGGAGAACGTGTTTCTCAATAGCACTATCCTGGGCGTCGATCGCTCGGGCGCGTGCTTTGGGGAGAAGGCGGCAGCCGCCGTGTGCGTGCTCTCCACTGCCCCTGCATCGTCGGGGACAGGGAACACCACAACGCTCACCAAAGCGCGCAAGCTCATTGTCGCCATCCCACCCTCTCTCTCCTCCCTCGCTTCTGCGAAACTCGACCTCGACGCGCAGGAGCGCTCGCTCTTCGGCAGGTTGTCCGGCTTCACCTACGGCTTCTCCGTGTTCACCGCCCCGGGGCTCAACAACAGTGACATTTATAACAACATCGGCACCCACACGCCCGACAACCTCCTCTCTCTCCCCGGCTCGTTCGCTTTCTTGCCGCTCCCCGCAGGCCGCTTCGCCGCGTCGTTCGGCCCACCGAACGACGCGACGTGGACCAATGCGTACGCGGAGGCGCTCGTCTCCGGCGAAGTGACGCGCATGAACGGCGGGGATATAGAATTTGATGACATCACGGTTATCTACACGGATTTCCGCCTGACTGCGGCGCCGAGCGATGTCGCCAGCGGGTTTTACAAGGAGCTGTACGCACTGGAGGGGACGAAGAATACGTTCTGGACGGGCGGGGCGTGGGCGGAGCAGGACAGTTCGCAGATTTGGTGGTGGAGCGATGTGTCGCTGTTGCCGAAGATAGAGGCGGCGCTGGCGTAGGCTTGTGCTGACGCCGGGAAGGGGTTGAAGATCCAGTCTAGTGCTTTTTACACTAATAATTAGTTTCGACCCTGTGCCAGTTATTTTCGTTGCATTCCCTAAAGAAGTTATTTCGAGTCCGCAGCACGTAGTGATCGTCTTTGGGAGAGTGAGTAATTGAACATGGAGCGAATGAACGACGTACGATACAAATATAGTTTTCTGATTCCCGAGTTCGGCATCGTGCAACAGATGCACAGAGGATCCGGATCCAGAATCAGCGAAGGCAGAAGACATCGGCGTAGCTGAATGCGGAACGTCAAGGGTCAAGGATGAATCAACACGATCGCGAGGCGGACACTGCGCTGGATGGAAGTATGTACTTATGCATCACAAATTGGAGGCTGCGCTGCTACTGGAGTGCGGGGACCTGGACGTGCGAGGATGAAGTACATAATAAGTTGATAATAAGACAAGATATGGAATATGAACACCCACGTACGGAGTATTAACCGGGAGCAGCAACGGAGTGATGTACAATGGAGGGTGCACGCATGTCTCATGGCGAGATGCGGGATGTTCTTGTCCCCTTCGGTGGGCTGCGGCATGAAGGAAGGAAGGAAGTGCGGTGGGAATAATTAACCAACCCATCGCACGCGGAAACGGAGGGAACCGACAATCCAGTACGACTTGGCAGAGAGAATGAAAATCTCAATAACGCGAATCGCTTCGAGAGAACCACGATCCCTGGTGGGAGAGGCAATATTCCGTTAGTTGCGAAAAATGCATAGGGGTGGCTGAAACAGACGAACGTAGGTATCTTAAAGGAATTGAAGGAAAAGGAGAGCCAAGAAGGGGCTGCGAGAATATTAATAGGGAGCGGCACGGCAATCGTACACGAATTTAAGAGAAGACGAGGTACATACATGTAAGAGAATGGATTTTGGAAGCGAGCGACGACGGCGTGTCTTGGCGAAACGGAAGCCGGCAGTGAGAATTGAGGATGCGTGACTTAAAGAGGGGAGGTCGAATGGCGATTAAGCGATGGGATGCAGTATGAGTATCCGAGTGGAGTCAAGCAGCTGAGAGGGTCCAGCGAGGGAGGTAACGCCCAGAATGAGTACCGGGATTGTGAGTAGCTGAGGGAAAAGGCTCCGCAAGGATAGGTGTATATATGTAGAAACGACACTCTCGAGGTAGGCGGGATGACCTAGGCTGATTTTTGACATTATGACATTCCGGTTCCGGTAATATACTCTTCTTGACGGCCAGGTCGGAAAATACCAAGAGCCTTCAGGGAAAGTGGGATGCAATGTCAACGCGGGATATTGTAAGTGGATTTGTTCCTATGCGATCGGTGCAGATGGTCTATTAAAGTCTCCGTTGATCTCATAGGTGTCTGTGGTTGACGATATCCCGCCTCTGTGGGAGAACGGAGAGTGCGTACGGGGACACTGGCATTTCGTATCTTTGTAAGTATCCGTGGTTAACGATATCCTGCCGCCTCGTTCACATTGAATATCAATAAATGCATACACAAATAGCACATAGATATCAAATCGCCGGTGGTTTGTGAAGATACGACTCGTGGTGACGCGTATGTAACAAATCCACTTGCGGCATGTTGAGCCCCGTGTTGATATTGCATCCCGATCCCGTGAAGGGCTCTGATTAATATATTATTACCCGCGGCCATGAACACCTAGATTACGAGAAGTTACCCGTGCTGCGCCATGGAGGAAATTGTAATCAGATGAACAGACACATTGAATTATGTAGGTGCACTGACAATACCTCTTCTCGTTTATTTCGACGCAACGCTCAATCGTTGTTATGCCACGGCAACCGCCCGTTTGAAGCGCCTTCTCCCTCGGCATCGGCCTCCTCTACCGTCTTACGCTTCTTGATCGGGGGTTCATTGGAATTAGTGTTGCCATTAGGACCACCCGAGAACCCGGCAAATGCATTCCAGAAGGCTTCATGACTTCTTGTGCACCGTAGCGCAACTCCGCTGCTTTCAACTTCTAGTTAGAACCTTCGCAATGTTGCCTTTATCGTTCCCGTTATTTGGATCTTGTCCGCCCTGGCGTTGATACTGGCGGCAAACTAACAGTCGTCAAGTCTGATTCATCCTCGGGTCAATCCTTCCTGATTTCTGTCCTCTCAGCCCGCCGCGGCTGTCTTGCATCACATCCTTCATTTTACAATATATTCTACACCCTTTCGCTTCCGCGGAGCCTCTATGTCGCCGGCACTCCTATCATCCAAAACAAACTCTGACTTCGCTCGTATCACCCCGAATCTCCCGGTCGGTCTCCCAATCTAGCTACTCATCTAGGCGCACCTCTGCAAATTTCTCCGAGTCCATCTTCGTGAGTACGTCTGTCTTTTAATGAATGTCATATCGGATTGGCTATCATGTCGCTCAGTTCAGCACTAGTCCTGGCCCAATTTCTGTACTAGATGTTGCTTTTCATGCCCGGATTTCCCCAGATCCTGATTCTCTTGTCATTTTTTCTCATCCCGTTATCCTCCGCCGTACTATATTCAGCTCTCATCAATACTCGGTCTCGTCAATCTCTTGCTCTACATACACTGTCTCCTCCTACTCCTTCCCTGGCTCCTTGAAAACCATTCTTTTCTCTGCACCATGGCGTGGAACCTGGTATGCACCCTTCTATTCTCATCTACAGTGAGCCACATGTACTCACTATATGCAGCACGAAAGGTTTTAAATACAAGAGGCAAAAATTTCCATGATTTCCTCCAAGTCTCCGGCTGGATTCGAACCAGTATCCCTGCTCTTCCTTGAGCGCGGCCAAGGGAGCTGACGGGTAGGCGCCCTCCATGAAGACTTCCTTGCCCCGTTCATGATTGTTGATACAATGTCAAATATCCCGTTGGATAAAAGACGACACATAAAAACACTTTGTGCACTCGAACCACCGACTCTCCCAGGGATCTTGAAAGAGTTTCTCACTCATGTTAAGTGCTCTATGAGGACTATTTGGCCTTTTCACGCTGTATAGGATGTCCAACGTCCCGGGATCGGGATGCAATTTAGAAAAAAATTGTGTATCCACCACCAAGGTCCTCGAGTGGGATCGAACCACCGTCTTTCCCTTTGTCATGGATAGTGCTGTAAATTAATAGGCTGGGAGTAAGTTTCTATGCTTCTCCACGAAGACTTACTGGCTCTGCTCCCACCCTGAATGCATTCGAACCTCGCAGATCCCATGCGGGAGTATCAACAACGACCGAGGGCATCGTAGACTGCAGTCTTCCGCACAAATATCTGCGGGACTATTCGAATCTTGTTGGTATGTTCGCCCTGCCTTAAGTACTCGACTCTAAACTAAAAAAGGAACTATACACTCTCCGATGTCTCTGGGTGGATTCGAACCACCGACACTCCTTGATATTGCGAGAATTTAGATGTATGAACCGAGAAGGAGTGAGTTACATTACTCCACAGAGACTTCCTCCCTCGCTGTATATGTTTATCAAGTTTGAAAGAAATACGTGTTCTGGCGTGGTTGAAAAAATACCCTTTACTTTCTAGGTCTCAGGGTGGATTCCAACTCCCCGAGCGGACAACTCGTTAGGGGATGGTTTATTCTACTCCACAATGACTCGCCTTTCCAGTGTATACTAGAGGGAAATTGACGTATTCAGGAAGAAGCCCACGCAAAAAAAGAAGCTTAGAAGCCAGGTCTTCGGGCGGATTCGAACCGCAAAACTTCCCTATACCCGCTATTATGTCCAGAAGCTCGAGTGAGCGGGAGCGAGTTGGTTTACTCCACGAAAACTTTCTGGATAAGTTTCAACATGAATATGGGGGAAGTTTCTTTTAGTATCGCGAACTGACATCTCAAGTAGACTAAGAGCAGACAAGCTGAAGCTCTGAAGCGGCGAAGCCGAAGCCGTTGGAGGAGTATAGTACTCCAGCGTGATAATCCAGTTTTCGAGCCTGAAACTATTAGCAACCAAACTATTAGCAGTACATCAGTAGTACACCTCCGATGAATGACACCAACCTAAGTCCCTCGCGGAATGAACTGTTCACTTCGAGCGCGGATAATAACGGAATGGCTCCGAGGCGAACCGCACCAACGTGGCCGCATCATCGGACCGCACTGCCGTGCATCGCATCGTTCCACTCTGACTCTCTCTTCGACGAGTCTTCGTCCTCCCTCTCCTTCTCATAACATCGATCGGCGCCTTTCGGACGCATTCAGCCTGAGTGTTCTGTCCTTCTACAGATCGATACGTGTCTAATCATGGTGTACAGCAGATAGCTTTAGGCCCTCCCCGGCCCGTCTCGGTGAAGATGAAGATCCTCTTCGCAGAGGTGGGGACACTGCGGGATCAGAAGAGGGCGTCAGTTGTGCGTCTTCACATTCTATGCCTCACCACCCGGGCTGATTGACGACGATGGCGGGATCGGGAGTTGATGAGCATCCCAGGCGAAACACAGCCTGAGCGCGGTCGAGGACAATGCCGAACTTGAAGCTCTTCTTGGTCCCTTCGTGGCCTGCGAGGCAATCTCATCTGTCCCTTGTGTGGATACTGGGCACGTAATTTGATTAGGCACGTTCATACTTTCCTCATTGCTCTTTGATATTCCTCCGACCCAAAGAGCCGTATCCGCGATGAAATGTCTCCGATTGTTGTACTCGTAGTGCGTCGCCGCGTTCTTAAAAACGATCCCTTTCCATGGCTGCTTGCGTCCTCCTCCCGTCGCGCGTTCTCATTCTCCCGTAGATGAGGCGCACCTCGGAATATGCCCGAGTTCGCTGTCTTCGGCTGACGATTCCAGGAGATCTTTTCGTGGAGGGGCCGTATTTCCGTGAGATGCGGCGGTTCCGTTTCCGCATGCGATGGGCCTTTTGTCGACACCGCAGTTCATTGGTGTTGCCCTGCGTCCCGCACCCTCGTTCGCACTTCCCATAGCCAACAGCAGTGGTATGGACAAATCTTATCATATTACGGCTCACCATGAGCAGTGCGCGTCTCTGTCCTGTCACCTTCGCTGAGCCTCCCCGCTCGCCCGTGACTCCTCGCTGTTCCCTCTGTGTATACCCCGGGCCACTTTGACCTCAGCACGGTCCTCAAGTTCGGTTCTTTATATGGGGCGACATCTTCACCTCCTTCCTGACCTATTCCCAGTTCCACGCTGGCCTACCCGCCCTTTCCGTTTTCAGACTAGCTGGGCGCTCCATTTTCTCCTTGCTGCGTCCCATAGATCTCGCGTCTGCGCACCTAGTCCTTCCCTGCCTCGTAATCTCTCTCATACGTCCATGTCTTCTCTATAGTGATGCCTCTGGGGCGGCATCTCCTTTTTCTTTCCTCGCTCTAGATCTTACGGCATTGCTCTCTCTTTCTCCTATACTCCTCGGTGCCGTTATCCCCTCGATAGCGTATATCCAACGTCCCTACGTCGCGTCCGGAAGCTCGAATTTCTCGCAATCGATTCGAAGATCTGTTGGGTTGGCTGTCTCGCAAGGACTGCCCAGTACGTATTCCTGTTGTATTCGGCTGTTTCAGATGGTGCCACTGGTATTGACACCCTGTGGCGAGCAAAATATAAAAATAATTATCTCGGTGCCTAGAACGACCGGCTGGCTGTGGCACTGAAAAAAGTAAACGGTCGAATTTGAGCAGTACGGACTGAGCCCGAGTCGAACGGGCGAAGGCTGCAGACTTCGACATGACTTGGCACCCCTAATGTGTGCAGCTGCGAACCGTTTCGCATTCGGTCCTGTTTATGGCTTGGACGAGTGGGGGATTTCCTTTCATTGGAGAGGTGGTGTCATAACTTCACAATATATAGTCTATAATAGTAAGGCCTCGTGGAGTAGCAACGGAATTCAGTCCCACCTTCTCGCAGGTGCATTCAACTTGCACGGGATGCATAGGCACACTAGATGCGCACCCTCTACAAAGGATATCATGGCGAGGGAGAAAAAAGTCAAGCACCGTCGGCCTCGTGCAAATAAATCTTCGGCTGGATTGTAACAGCGAGATTAGGGTAGATCATATTCGCGGAAGTGATTTGCCTACTCGACGAAGACTCGTTGAAAGTTGAATGAAACACTTTGGATGCCCGATAGCCGCCCACGATTCAGATAGTTCGATGCGGGAAGCTGGAAAGAATAAACTGGATCCGACCGACCCAAATTCCTCAGGTAACCATTCCGTAGGTAGTCAGCGACGGCTTATGAAGGTAACTCTGTCATAAATATGGCCTGGAAAGAAATCACCTTGGTTGAGGGTTGGAAAAAAAATGCTTCCTATAATCCTGTATGTCCTCGGGTGGATTCGAACCACCCACCTCCCGTCCAATCAGGATACCTGGAAATGCATAGTGTGGGAGTAAGTCCATACTCCACGAGAATTTCCCAGGGCGTCGAGGTCCTGCATATATTGGCGAAACTCAACGAATGGCTTCGACTGGAGGACTAAAAAGGACATATGCTCTCAAATAAGTCTTCGGGCGGAGTGGAACCGCCAACACTCCTAGACATTCTCGCAACTACGTCTCAATATGAAGGAGCAAGTTGCATTACTCCACGAAGACTGACCTACAAAGGATAGAGCCTGGATAGGCATGTAAAAATATCAATGGTTGGACCGGTGCGAACGCACACTGGAATGTCTTGGTGTCCACTGCAACGTGCCAGTCTCAGTCTTAGTGTATGATTTTCTTGCCCAGCGAATCGAATACTCGTATATGTAACCCTGACCAGGAGAATAAAGTATTATCGTGAGCAAGGGACGCGTATAGCGTCACTCACCTTCTGCACCGGAGAAGTATAGTAAGATCTGTGAGGGTTTAGGAAAGCAACTCGCTCCTACACCTTGGAAATTGATGTATAAGGCATCGGAGAGTTGGCGGTTCGAACCCGCCCGAAGACATTGGCGAATCCATATCACCTTTTTCCTCTAGCGAGTACACGGAGTTTTGGCGCACTAAATTCGGCCGGATTGAGCGAGAAGAATCATTTTGGAACGGTTGCAGGCAGATGAGATACAAATTGAAGTAAAGTATCCGGACTCTCCGAACGGCGATGTGCGGGCTCATTGATTTTCGGACGGTTCTGTCTAAATTCATTGAGCCACAAAAAGACGAACGGATTCAATGGAACCATATCAATGTCTTCGGATGGGTTCGAACCACCAACACCCGGAGTCACTTGAGGGACACAATTATGTGGGAGCGTGTTACGTGACTCCACAAAGACTTTCTGTCCCGGTGTAAACGCTGAATAAACTGGCAAGGAACGAGAGCGTTGGGCATGGGGCCAAGAAACATGTGCTGACAGAAACTCCTCTCAAGACAAAATATCATTGATAAAATTATGTAAGGAGTGAGTTATTTCACCATACCGAGACCTCTTCCCCCAGTAGCCCTATTTTATTCTTCCCGGCCCTCTCAGAGTGTAATTCGAATAAGTCGCAGCCTAGAGGTGAGAGTGATGGGGCCGGGGGCAAAAATCGGTCCAGAAATACACATGTCTTCGGGCGGATTCGAACCTGCAATCAACGGGTGTAATCGGAAGGAGGGAGTTGCTCTACTCAACGAAGACTTGGTCGACCTTGACTAAATTTATCAGAAATGCGGCAGTTCGGAGGAGAACAGAAAAGGAATCAGAGGAACCATACCAGGTCTTCGGGCGGATCCGAACCACCAACACTCCTATCCATGGTATCGGCAGAGAGCGAGTTACTTTATTGCAAGAAGATGCTCTGGCTTGGCGCGTACTTGGAATAAGTCGGGTTGTAACATCAATTTTGGATAGAGAGCACCAAACAAATGAGAACGGACATGATCCAGCTAGGTCCTCGAGTAGATTGAAACCGCTAACATTCCCTTAGCCACTCAAGGAAATAATTGAGAAGGTGCGGTTTATCTTACTCTTTAAGGACGTTTGAACTTTGATGATGCCCTGAATAAGAGTGCTTGCGCTGGGTGACAAAAAAATACCAGCTATCTGGTTCCTGACACCGGGTTAGATTCCCTAGATTGCAGATACGATCCCTTTATTTGTATTACTCCACAAAGGCTTCCCCATTGAATACGCCCCGTGAATCACCTGTCGAGAAATATAATACACCGTTCACGGGCGCTGAACTCAGAACAACCCTGGTTCAACAATGCAGGTCGGGTGGATTCGAACTACCAACATTTCCTAAAAGCATAGTGAGACTCAATTTAGAGAGGGGAGTTAAATTTTACCGCAAAAACTTGGTTGGTCGAGTTGATGCCGGAATTTATGCGGAACTGGGGACATTATGGAGCGCTCGGAGAGCTGGTCGGTGGAAAACGGGATGTGCGGCACCAACCCGGCACGTTCCCCGAACCGACCCACGTGGCACCGCATCACCGGACCGCTTACCCGTACCTCGCTCCTCTCTCCCCCATCTCATGACATCGTCAACCTGGAGGACCAAAGTCCGTTACTCCCTCTCCCTTACC